GGCAAAATTTTTTGCCCTATCCAGGGCAGGGTGAGTTTTTTTACTATCACTATGAGCTTGGTCTTGAATTCTCCAAATTATTTTTTCACTTTTTGTTGACGTTCCCCTTTTGCTCTAGATTGTATCCTCCAAAATACCAAGAAAATAAAATGGAAAAGGAAAGAAAATGAAAGAGAAAAAAAATGAAGAAAAGAAAAAGAAAGTAAAAGGAAAAGAAAAATGAAAGAGGAAGCTCCAAGCCGGAAGAAGACAGAATGAATCCCAGCAGCCGGTTTTTTAATTAAAAACCCCCAGAGAAATTGCACCCTTGGTCCCTGAAGTTCCAGAAAGTGACAAAAACCTTGCGTCATTTTTTAAAAATTAAAAATGGCTCCTAGGCGCCGACTCTCTGCCTTGATTCCAGTTTTCAATTATTTTATTATTTTTTTTGCACACAAAGCATCTAGCAATTTGTACTTAAGGTCCCTCAACTTTGAACTTGTACAATTTGATCCATAGATTTTGACTTTTATATCAATTTTGCCCCCATAAATTGCATCCTAAATCCTCAAATTTCGGCACTTGTGTACTTTGATCCCCCTTCACTTTTTTTATGTTTTTGGTTCCTTTTCACTCCCTTTTGCGATTTTGCCTTGTTCTCTTACCTTTTGAGGTTTATGACCTACAAAAATCAAAATTACCCAATTCTGAGTCGATATCCACTCTTTCAATTAATAGTTAGCTCGTTAAAGTTTCTAATAAGTGTGCAAAAATACACTTATCAAGGGTAATTCTTGCTTCTTCACTAAATAAAATTATAGAATTTTAAATTTATTTTCATTTTGTTGCCTTAATATATCAAACTATCAAAGTTACTCAAATCAAATTGGGGAGCATCATGTGATTCTTCTCATCACTAATCAATCTTAACTCGTCACTTTTTCATCTAAAAATTAATTTTTCACTACAATAGGTTGTAGTGGGTAATGGTTAGTTACAAAATTGATTATACTACCTATTATAGTGTACCACATTATCTAGTGCTTAGGAGTTCAAGAGATCAATTTCATTCATTACCATATCAAAATTGACTCCACTCATCCTCTTGTATAATAAAAAATGGAAGGACAACCATGAAAAATTGTCCATGAAGTCTTATGCATAAGAAGCAGAAGATTTTAAAATGAAGTATATCCACCTTCATACTACATCAACAGAGCACAATGTGTTAAAAAAATGTTTCCACGCAAAAGGGGTGAAGAAGAAATAAAGAACAAAAAACAAGAACACCAGAATAAAAGATGAAGGCTTAAACACGAAATCCTTTGTCCTCAAAGAATATTTGCTTCCTCTCGATTGAATTTGATGCTTAAAGGGATATTTGCAAATGGTTTGAAGAATTAATCAAGATTTGCAATAGAAAAACACTCAAGTACTTTGTATTTTCTATCAAAATTTTAAGAACACTTTGAAGGAATTTGAATATAAAGGAAAGAATATGAATTCTATTTTTTGGAATGAAGATTTGATTTCAAGTTGTTGAATTATATCTTTGATGTGATAATCTATCATGTATAAATAGATTTTAATCAATACCCATGAAATAGTGCCAAAAGACCATGAAAAGTTGCAAGCTTTAGGCTGAAGGCCATCAAGAATTTAAATAAAAAAACCAGCCTTAACAGCTATTTTTTAGTTCTATGCGGTCGCATGGCACATAGGCGCAACATGTCTTTTTGCGACCACATGATACAAAGTCCTATGTGGTCGCATAGGCCAAAGTTTTGGCCTTCAAATCATTTTTTTTTTTTTCATTCCAAAGCCTATTCTATTTATTTTGAACAATAATTTCAACATAATGGTGGATTTGTGGCCCTTTGGTTGCATTCTTTAAACTATCCCGATTTATGTGGTTTAAGCAATGGTCAGGGTGTCGATATGAAATGTGACGAAGTTGTGGACAGTGACCAGAACACTGACATGAAGTTTGCGAATCTGTGGACATGGGCTAGTGAGTTAACATACAGATTGGTACCTCTATCCACCCTTACAACACTCCCTTTTCCTTACTTGTGTGCTACTATTTATTTTCCTATTGATATACTTGAAATAATCTTAACATCGTTAATGTAATTTCAACTCTACAATCAAAATTGTCATCGAGAATTCTACGATGTTATGTGCACAATTTTAATAAATTTTGGAGATTTTATCATATTCATGTGGATGTTAGATACTGCATATTTTATTGCTCGAATATTTCTTCACATTCGTTGTGACCTCAAGCACCATTAGGAAGTCAACTCTGCAAGTTATATGCAAATATGCTGGTGCTTGTTTTGATTATCTAACATTTGCAACATGTCTATGTGCAGTGCTTTCTTATGCTTAGTAGTAGGTGAGCCATCTCTAGGAATATAAAGTATAATCATGGTAGAAAGAAAATAAGTGCCCTGACTCAAAATAAAACAATTAAAAAGAGGTCTAGAAGAAGTAGTAGTAAATGGATCTTAAACTAGAGCCGGGAGACAGATCCGACTAAATACCCACTCTCAAGGAACAGGCCAACATAGCATACGAGCAAGTCGATTGCTTAAGTTTTGGAGGCAGTCGATCTGTAGGCACCCACTTGTTTAATGCACTTTACTTGTCAAAGAAAACCCGACGGATAACAAGTCTTTGAATATATGCACATTAAAATCTCTTATCATGTTTTAATTATTGGCTAAATTTTTAATTATCTTTTGTTATCTTATGTCATTAAGACGCATTTTTCTTTCTTTCTTTCTTTTCTCTCTCTTTTTTCTTCCTCAAAAGTGGGGTCTTAAGTTGGTTTTATCCAAAGTTCTCCTGTTCAAGAAAAACATGAAACACTTCATTTTGCAACTTCTATGGATGGGGAGACTAAAACTGAAGAGCACCTTCACTTTCCTGCAAAAGTTCAACTTGTTTATTCAAGAATGGGGAGGTTAATAGGTTTTTTGGGAGGCTTTTTGTTACGGGATATGCTCGTGATTAAAGTGTGATTTTTATCGATTTTAGCTTGAGTTTGACTTATTCAAAATAATTTTTTCTCGAGTTCATATACTCTATTACATATGAGGTTCAAAACTAGTTGATTTTAATTTGAAAACTAAATTACCCACCAAATAGTTTATTTTAATGGGCTATAACTCCATTTGGCTTATCCAAATTAACTTTTTCTTGAGTTCATAATTCGCCATTTATACGAACTTCGAAATGAGCCTAATCTTGATATGGGAATTCTTGCTCTTTCAATAATTAGCTCTTTGGCTCAAATAAATAAAAATAGAATTTACTACTTATTTTCATTTTGGTCTCTCAACATCTCAAAAGTATTAGAAGGCGCAAAAATCAAAACTGTTAGTATCCCTTACCAATCTTAATCGTCTAAAAATTAATCTCAGTATTTGCAATCTAGTCCCAAAACTTTACAATTGTTGCATTTAGGATCCAATCTCCAGTTTAATATCGTAAAACCTACTATTATCATTATGCAAATTCACCGCAATATTCTACAGACTTATAAAACCATGATTCTTAAAATTTGTCATAATTTACACTTAATCCTTAAACTTGCTATAAATCCCTAAAGTGCACCTTACTCGAGTTTTTCCAATTAATAAATCTAGTTGAGTTTTTCATTTAGATAAATGATTTTCATCTTTTCTAATTTATGACGCAGTTTCCTTTCATGCATTGTGGTTCGTATATTTGCATGAATTGGAGTTCATTCAGGGCATGTTTGACGTACTATATTAGATGTATAAGGATTAAAACAATTCGATCTTATCTTTATTTGATGTTTGGTAGAGTTAGTACCTTGGTTAAATTAAATTTGGGTGCTTATTCTCCTTTATTTAATCGTACAAAATTAATATGTCATGTAGGATGAGTAGTTAATAATTTCATTTGTAAGTAAAAATAATAATTTTAACCAAAAAATTCAAGTTATAAGGAAATATTTAATTGTAAAAAATTCATTTTTAATTGGAAAACGTTTTCATAAGTTAAAAAATAAAAAATTAGATACGAGTTAAAAATTACTTATGAAACTAACTTAAAAGTTATACAAATGCTTATATAAGAAGAAAAATCACTTATAAGTCAAAAACAAATTTATTAATTAAAATATTTACTTATTAGTAAAAAATCACTTATAAGACATAAGTCCACTTATATGTAAAAAATTGCCTACAAGTAAAAATAAAATTTTAACTAAAAAATTCGATTGTAAATTAAAAAAAAAAAAATCAGTTTATAAATAAAAATTTTACTTATAAGACAAACATTCAATTACGTGTAAAAAATACTACTTATAACTAAAAAATTCAATTGTAAGAATAAAATTATTTTATAACCAAAAATTTTTTTATAAGTAAAATATCACTTATAAGATAAAATTTCACTTTATATGAAAATTGCTTCTAAGAAAAAAATATTACTAATATTCCTATAAGATAAAAATTCATTTATACAAGTATAAAAGTCATTTATACTTTAAAAAATCCACTTATATATGAAAAATTACTTGTAAGTAAAACATATACTCAATAAGTATAAAGTTTACAAAAGTAAAAATTTAGCTTATAAGAAAATAATATTTGCCGGGAAAATATGTAAATGCACTAAAACATAAAAATCAAAGTGAGACAAAAATTGATAACAAATAATCATTTCAATTTATATATAAATGCAATAAAACGTAAAAATCTCAATCCTTATAGATATGATAAATAGTCACCAACTAGTCCGAATGACCACTCGGGAGGAAATGGTGGCCAATTCCATTTTCTTAAGTCACATTTTCTGTTTGACTTACTTTTAAACACAATTAAATATGCTCTTACTGTCTCGTGCATCTCTAATTATATTCCCATCACAGTTTCTATGCATATTACTCAAAAAAGAAATCCCGATAACTGTTAAGAACTGCAACATATTTCAATAATCAAGAACGTTCCACAGATGTGCAAGATGAACAATTAAGACTCAGAAACTTAAAAATAAAGGTCCGCTCCATATGTTTTACTCATCCATGTCAAGAACAAATTTGCAAGAAAGCATTGACCTCAAAATTGAGCCTGTAATTGTAATTCCCTTACCGGATAACCTAATTTAGTGTGGTCGATTTGAAGCCATCAGAAGGGCTCAAACACGCTGTATTTCACAACTTAATACTCGCTGCTTCTTCTCTTCCGCTTTCCTTGGCTGCAAAAATGAAAATGGAATAAATAAATGGAACCCGTGATATTATGATGCCATCAACAATTTGAAGATAAACTTCTTATTCAGGCAACAATAGCCTCTTTTCTGTTAAAACTAGTGAGGAAACGCACGTTAATTGGTGAATGTTAAATATAAGTGTGTGGCAATTGTGAATGGACATACACGACAGCTCTTAAAGAAGCAGCCAATGTAACAGCAGTCAATTTCCTTCAAATTTGCCATAGAAATATTAGGAATACAACTAAATAGGTAGAAATTTAACCTTGGAATTACATAAAAAAAGGCTCTCAAATATAAATTCTCCATGGAGATTATATAAAAAGGGCTCTCAAATATGATTCCCCTTAAAAAGAGAGTAAATTGATGGATCTAGCTGGAACTTCTACTAACACATACTCTTAATGTGTAGAATAATTATAACACTCACCAAACAAATGTCATGGCCTAACGAAGGTGTGATAACTCGAAAGAAATGATGTGGTAGATCGATTTCGCGAAATATAATATTTCCACTACAACAGTAAATGTATTTATTAAACTCATATAAGCAATTGGAAATTAAATTTTTTTATCATTGTCTAAAAATGTAAAATCACATTGTAAAATAATGTAGTTCAAAAGAATAAAACTCAAACGGCTTAACAGACAGTCTCATTTAAAATGCAAAAAATCGATGAAAGAAATGCAATTAATGAATAGTTTTTTTAACAAGTGGATGGAAAGTAGAGTAAATTTGATGGTATGACAGTCTAGATACTGCTTCAGGCCCCAACATAGAAATTACAAATGCGAATCCTTAGTCGAGAGGAATCTGATCTAGAACAAAAAGAATTTTTTCTATATTAACAATAGATAGCCCTACCTTTTGACACAATTTACTTTCTTCACTTAATCCTCAATTATTTAAAAACTATTTAAAAATGACCCAGTAAAAGATTCAAGAAGGTGGTGATACCATCTCATCTAAAGGTTTCGCTTTTGGACAATGAGGTTCGACATGACATCCTAGCAGGCTAGGAAAAAGTCTAGGTTCAAGTATTTTTATCACCCATTTATAAAAACTATGCACGACGACAAATATAAACCCAGACCCCGAGAGGTAGCACGGCAATTACAAAAATTATAAGGAATAAATTCGTCTAACAACTTGACCTTTTATGAGATGGTTCAAGATAAACAAATGAACCAAAAAGAACAAATTTCAAAACTTTCCAAGGGGTGCATTTCAGCAAAAAATAGTAAGCTGCCAGAAAGATAGACATCTTTGCTTTACTCTCTCTTCTCTACTTCCGCGAGATAAAAGAAATGGAAATTAAAAAACAAAAATAATGTGCTTCGAAAAAGATAATTTATATGTGTTCAATAATAAATACTGCATAAGAATAGTAAAAAAAAATTGCTGAGTTTTCAAGCAGGAAGCAATGGTGTTCACCTAGATTCCAAGTATTTTATCATCATTTCCAAGATCAATTAGGAGCTGCCTCAGCTTGGCTTAAACATTAGAAAGGACAGGGGTATCATGAACCCAATGAGCATTATAAGATGGTCCCTAGTTAATGTTGCTGAAACAAATTATACAAAGAGTCAAACAAAGTCAAGCAGTCCGAAGAACTCTAGGAATCATAAAAGAAAGTTTACCATTGCAAAACAGATTCGGCAAATGGCCTCATGATATCTACTGGAGAGAACGTAGGTAATAAAAAATAATGTGCTATTAAACTAAAAGAATCTGCTATTAATAAACTAAAAGAATCTGCTATTAATTGTCAAATTCTTCATGTTAGTAAGACCTAATAAACTAAAAGAAAGTACTATTACCATAATTTATTTATAATTTCAAAAAATAATGCAAAGCATAGCGGTATTCTCAGATGACTGGTATTTAAATTAACTAAGATAGACCTCAAATTAACTAGAAAGTTACTTCTAGTCAACTTTTTGTTACTTATTATAAACAAATATCTGAATTAGCACATAAACAAATCATCCACTCGCCTAGCAATACTTTAGTGGCAAATGCACTCCCTCAACTTTGCACCATAATGTAATGCCAAATCTGTACGATGGAATATTCTAGCAATTAAAAGCTAGTAGTATAATTACACCTTGAAATGGGGTCATGTTGAGATACAAATATGTCAATATAACTCTAGGAAGCCAAAACCAAAATTCTTCCTCTTTGATTTTCAACATATGCATACAAAAGTGAATGACCATAAAACTTTTGTTATATTAATTAAACCAAGTTGCATAAGCTTTAGAGAAAGAGATGTAACATAAAACGACCAACTATTACATTGCAATAATTTCTTGTAAAACTCGAATTTCAAATCATTGTTAGTCAAATTGCTTTTTTAAGACAAGAATGCTGAAACTTATAATAGACATTCTGTACAAGTAGCTGCCATCAAATCAAATTTTGAAACCTATATTATTAAATGAACAATTTTACCACAAGACGAAATGCTTCAAATTTGATCTCTTGTGCAGTGTTATCTAAAAGGTGCATTCCCTTGATAGCCAATATGAAAACAGGCAATTTATGATTACAATCTTGGTTGTCAAACTGTTTAGAGCTTAGTTGACATTGCCAACTCAATATTTTTAACCAACCCTACATCATTTCTAGCATGAGAACGCTCCGAAAGAGCATGTATTTGAGAATATAGAGATGTGGTAGCTAAAAATTAAGTCTTAGAAATTTGTTAGGCATATAACTGAATGTATAATACTTGATCTAGAAATATAGATATCTCAATTTTCATAACTGCAGAGAATTCCTAAAATAATAAAAAATTCCAATACAAATTCTTAATATATTCAAAAATTGATACAAATAATAAAGAGCAAATTGTATACACATGACAAAAATAATTAATAATAATAATAACAATAAATAAAAATCAGCAAAATGCAAAAATTGTCCTTACCAGATTGCCTTTAGCAGGAAGAACGATCCAACACTTATAAATACAAAAACCTACAAATGGGAAAATTTCATATTAGAAGATGATACGCAATGTAAAAAGTAATAATAATAATAAAATAAAATAAAAAATGGATACTTTGAAAATTGGAAAAAAAAAATTCTAGATCCTTTACAAGGGTTAAAATAGATGCAACTTATGAATGGATGAAAAACCTAACAATCTATGTTGTTAGCCGCTCGGCACATTTTAGCCAGTTATTTGTTTAGATTAAAGTTGTTTGTATTAGAAACCTAATTACATTAAGTTAAAGTACTAAAAGATGAGAACTTTGATTGTTATTTTTGTGTCATTTTTAATCGTATAATAATCTAACCACCACCCCGTAGAACAACATATCCAATCCTTAAGAAGTTAGAGATCAATTACCTATAACATCTTGCATATTGAATCCTTTGCTCTAGGTAGGATGTTGTCTAGCTTTACCTTTCCAGGCTTCCTAAAAATCGACATTTCATCAAAAAGAGGAAAAAATTACTTGAAAGTAAAATGAAAGTTACCAAAAAAATAAAAAATAAAAAAATTAATGTAATAATAATATGTATCCCCCTCATTAAGATTATGTAGCGTTTGCAATTCTTTCAAGCTAGCCATCAAAGTTAGTTTTCGTGTCAATATTTACTTAAAAGGATTGTAGATGAAATCCATAGAAATTAATAACTCAGATTCGTATATAAGAATGAGACATGATGAACATCAAAGGTTCAGAGATGATACCTTTTCTTAGATCTAGTTGGTTGAACGTGTATTGCACGTTTAGTTAATGTTTGAAAAAAATGTATATAAGTTTGAGAGAAGTTTATTTGTAAACGTGAAAAATATTCATAGGTTTGAATTGACTTACTTTTCATCCCTTTTCCATTATAAAAAATACATCAATTAACAAAGGAAATTCGTTCTTTCAAAACCGTTAAATAAAAGTAGAATGTCTTGCAAGTGAAAATACGCAAAGAAAAAAATAATAATAATAATAAATAAAAAAAGAAGTGGGCACAAGACATGAGATCAAGCTGTAGAGTTCCAAGTGCAATGCAAGAGAAGGCTGGATCTTAAAGAGGCTTCGTGAAAATAGTATTGGACTGAAGGAAACTTGTCAAAATAGCATTGGTAATAAAATAATGATTAAAAAAAGAATGTATAGGATTGAAATTAAACAGCCACTTTGTATTCTGACTCCTTATTTTCCTAATGTCCTCATCTTTACATTGAAAAAAAGTTGTTAGGCACACATCCAGTATTTCGTTCACTAATCAGGAACTTTTGTTTGGCTGCGAAGTGGCAGTTATAACTGAAGGAAACAATGATCCTTTTTCTCACGTATGGAATTCCATTTCACTGGTTAGGCAGAGATGTTAGATTCTGTGAACCATGAGTTCCTTGAAAATTACAGTTTTTATACTAAACAAAAACATCAATTCACTGCAGATATGTTTATGGAGGCAACTTATGAAAATAATTTAATTAAACAATTTTTTTTCTTTGAGAAGTACGCAACCAGGCAGTAACAATGATTTATATTGCGTGCCCTTTTATTTCAGCAAAGCTGTCTCTGAAGCCGGATTCAATGCATAAAATCAAAATCATGTACCTACTTATAAAAAGCTTGCTAGCAAATTGCACCATTACTCCAAACTTATTATCCGAGTAGCAAGTTTCGATCTTATTGAAGTAAGTTGACCTTTCACCATACTGGCACAAAAATAGTCCAAATCCTCATTAAACTTTCACCTAGTCCTTATGGGAATATGCATCAGTCAAAATTTATTGGGTATCAGCCTATGGTGGGAAACAAAAACTAAAGTCCTGGTATCAGTTCTTCAACATTATCAATTGTAAGCTTATAGAAGGACCTTTCATTTCTCTCCTACAAGTTAAAGAAATAAAATTAGCATGTGAAAAATATTTAGATCTCACACATGATCATCAGTTATGAAACGAGATATACGGTCAAAAGTAATCAAAGTATCAAATTACTATCCACATAAATTTTTGGTTCTGCCCTACATGGTTATATTTATAGGTAAACAAGTTAAACTACTCACCTCAACCACGAGCACACCTGGCATAATTAGCCTCTCAGGAAAATGGGGGAGGAAATTATCATTTATAGTCACATTCTTGATAGCCACAGTCGACAGCCAGGATTGTACTCAACCACTCTAATACCAGTAAAAAATGGAAATCTATAGCCAAAAGCAAAAACAAAAGAAAAAACCAAATTGTATTAACAAGGCAGCCAAAAGATAAAAATCACAACAGGAGGAAATGAATGCTTGAATTCACAAACTAAGAACCGTATTAAATTATCAAGCAACCGAATAAAGAATAACAATTAAATCACTAAAACAAAGTAAGAATCAGGACAGTTCGAATTTCATTGATCAGTGAGGCAAAATTTCACGAATATGATCAATGTCCATGACTGTAGCAAATGCCGGGCACTCAAGAAATTAAAATTTAAAGAAGTTACATCTCTCTCCAGAAAATCTAATGAAACACAAAGGGCAAAACCTCATTCTTTCACAGCTCACTCAGCTAAACATGAAGAAGCATTGAGCGGATAATGAACAGTGTATATAATCAGATTGATAAGTGTGAATGGACCTGTTTGACGGATTCAGTGATTTCAAGACTGATACCATCACTGGAGAAGAGAATACCGCGAATTAGATTGGATTCGGAGGAGAAGTGCTGACTGAAAAGGCTAAGGTTTGGGGAGGCTACAAGCGAGTCGCCTTACAATTTGCAATGCCATTGACGGACCACAATTATTCAATCAACCAAACCAATTGAATAATAGTTAACAAAATTGCAATGTTTATGGGTTATTGTGTCCTGTGTTTACAAGTTTATTCTTCTAGAGAGGGAGGGAGAAGCGAAGCTGTGAAGGTGTGAAAATGGAGAACAGCTGGAGTGGAGGTGAGGGTTGCATGCTCCGTGCGACACGAAGCAACTCCATGTCTGCACGGAGCAATATGCTCCGTGCGCGCTCGGTGTGGGCACTGCTCCCATTATTACTTTATTTTATTTTTTTGCTTTTTGTTTAAAAAAAAAAAATTTATTCTCCGCATCTCCTGCACATAAACAACATTATAAACTATTTTTCTTTCTTAACACTATCCATCCAATCTACCTTACAAAAGATGCACAAAATTTCCACCAAGTTTTCCTAAAACACAAATGAAATATGAAATATGCAAAAAAAATAAAAAATAAAAAAAGATAGAGATTTTAAAATTTAAAATGAAGTGGGAGAAGCCCTTCTATATCCTTTTAATACAAAATTGCAAGTGTCAAATTTACAAGCATTTCATTTCTAACTGAGAGAAATCAATTTCAATAGTATAGTCTTACAAAATTATCTTAGAAGCTAATTGACCATGGAAGGTATCCTCGAACAAAATTAATAACATGCATGTTTACATAAACGATAATCAAATGAAAACTTAAGAAAAATGATGATTAATTCAAAAGAACAAAAAATCGAAAAAACATACATACATACAAATAAGAGAGATTCCTGATGATATGTAATCATGGAACTGCTTGTCTTGGGTTGTATAAGACAATCTATGAAGGAGTTTAGTCACGGGTGTTGCAATTTTGGTCAGAATTGGAGCAATAATAACAAACTAAACCTTGTTTCTACGAACTCTTTAGAAGAAAGAGTGAGAAAATTGAGAAATCAATTTATAGTAAGAAAGAGACGGGAGGTGAGGTTATCACAGTGGGGATGGCGAAGTTGAGTGCAAAAATGGAGAAATACAAGATGGTTGCGTTAAGCAAAAAAGAAAGGAAAAAAGTTAAAAAAAAAAAAAAAAAAAAAAAAAAAAAAAAAAATTTTAAAAAACAATATATGCGCAACACCTGTACAGCCTTTACTTCACTCTTTTATATACATGTAGGAAGTGTCAACAAAACTCCCTTTGGTTGTTTTCTTTTGTGCATCCTTTCTCAAATTGTTTTATAGATCTGTCAACAATATATAGTTTGAAAAAATCACATGGAGTAGAATTTGTCAGCATGCAAAAACAAAATGAACAAACAAAAAGACCAGTTTAGATGCTACGTTAGTGACCGGAACATATAACAACAATGATAGAAGTACAAGCGACATCGACAAATGGTCTATGATTATTACAACCATAGGAAGCAAAGATCGCGGTTAAGTATCTCTAGGAACCAGTCATACAAGGAGAAGAAAAATGGCCGACTGAAAAGATCAGAAACTGCATCTTCAGCTGTAGGCACAGTTCCAATCTTTCCTCCACTCAAGAAATTAGTCAGCAGGTTACTTGCATTGTCTAAT